AGAAGAGAAACAGTAGTGACAGTTTCCAGGTCTCCCAGTCTAAAGAGCAGAGAACCTTTGAACGGCACATGAAGCCTCTGTGATGAAGGCAGGATGACGTGCAGTCTGCAGACAGTCTTCCTCAGCTCAGACACCGGCTGTCGGTCCATGAAGCTCAGGGAGTCGAGCTCCTCGCTCACATAGAGCTGCTGGACGGAGCTTTGAACAGGACGACACAGCAGCAGAAGTCGAGGTGGACACACGGCTCAGTCACTGTCCAGATGTCTCTGCACTAAGTCTGACTCTAGGATGCCAGAGTCATCTTACAGTCAGTCTTATACATGACAGGTTACGTCAGCCTTGTTCACAGCAGTACTGATGCATAAATTGAAGTAAGGTAACAAACATTAAAATCAAATGAAATACTATATAACAAATATAAAATATAAATAAATCAAATATAGCAGTTATGACTGAAATGACCTTAAATAAACCTACAAACTACAACTATAACAACAAGTCTTACTCTAACCCTTTAACCCCCATGATCTCCTACAAAACGTGTTTCATATCACATGTTAGGTTGTTGACACTGAAACAGATGATGGAGGGACAGAGGTCTGGACTCTGAGTATTGGGTTTAAAAGCTAGGTGGGTCATCCATACTGCGATTACTTCCTGCCCGTCGTCTCTCATAGAAACACACTATATGTGGACTTCTGTTAGTTTTCAGTTCATTTTTGAAAACAAGACAGAAAGCCAAGAGGACAACACAGACACACAGTAGAGCTGCTGCTGCTGTTATCAGTCCAGTGTAGAGGCTGGTCCGTCCAAGACTCTCTGGTTGTCGTCTCACAGTTAGTGTCCGAGGTTTGTGTTCATCACCAGCTGCTGTAAAAGACAAAAACACCTGTTGATACCTGTTCATGTCCAGATGTAACACCTGGACAGTCTGGCCTTGAACCTCCTGATGTGTGTTGCCATGTGCAGCATGTGTGTGATTGTTGTTGGAAACATCATGGTAACAATCCCACAATGCTCAGCAGCCTCAGTCCATCAGGTCGAGTTCAGCAGCACAGTCTGGACAAAACTGACTCCCCCATGAAAACTACTGAGTCTACTTACCTGTGACACTGAGATGACACCTGTCAGAGCTGAATCCACGGCCTGTCTTAAAACGACACCAGTACAGGCCTGAGTCCTCAGTCCTGAGTCTGGACACATGGAGTCTGAGTTGTCCTTCTCTGAGGACGTCTGTGTCCCACTGGACTCGTCCTGAAAACTGTTCATCCTGAGACTCTGGGACCTCGACGCCCTTATAGAGATGGAACAGGACTGAGTCTTTGTGAACAGTTGACTGGTAACACAGGATAGAGAGAGACTTAAAGGGGCTGCAAGTTCTGCTTCTGAATGTCCACTCCAGTGTGACGTCTCCGTTCTCCTCTGCCTGATAGGATCTTATTGACCATTCCGCTACAAATGTTCCTGTTGAGGAGACACACAGGGAAAGTGAGGACCACACTGACTGACAACCTGGATCATTTCTTCTCACTTAGTGGATAATAAACTGACCCCAGACAGAGGAGACCAGGCTGCTGAGCATCAGGATGCAGCAGATCATCTGGTCCTGTGAGAGGAGACACAGGTGAAGAGTCAGAAACACAGGAGGTCACAGTTCCAGGTGGAAGAAGGAAACTCTCCAGTCTGACTTCATTCAGTCATGACAACACCTGATCCTGTTCATCATCCTGTTTGTTACTCACCACTGACCAAAAGCTTTTCTGACAAACGCCACAAACTCTGTGAACTACAACCACTGGTGTCGACTGGCAGATTAGAGACAAACCTACTGGTTGGTGGTCTCTGGAAACACTGGACATTTTAAGGTGTTCGCTGTTTGGAGGAACGTGTTTCTGCCACCAGGTGGCTCCACCTTCACCTGATAAACATCAGGAAACAGATTCTTCTCCTCAGACATCAT